CTATCCATTCCTGGCGCCCCTGTGAATGGCAAAATTTTTAAATACTGGCCAGCCATGGTTTCTGGCTCCCACAGTAAGCGGATTCCCTTGCAGGGGCTGGGAGCTGCAGAGAACTCACCATGGGCCCCCAACACTCCCCACAAGCTGGGACAGGAGCCCCCCCCATGAATAAGCAGGACTGCAAATAGCGAGTCTGCAGATCAGGAGGGTCTCCTGTAACACACATGCTAACTGGACAAGTTAAGAACATTCTCTCTTACACAAAGGAGAACAAACTATTCCATACTTGTATTCCTATAGATGACAGCTTCCTTTTGGGGATATTCTCCACCTTAGGCTCTTCACTAGTCAGAGTTCCTTTGTCACTTTTCAAAGTTGCATTTTTCTGGGGTAACTCTGGAGCATCTCTGGCTTGAGTCACAAGGCTGCCTCTGGTCACACTGGGGGTTCTGGTGCTGTCTAAGCTGTCTGAAGAATTACTCAGTCCTGACTGGCTGTTGACTTCACTCTTGTGGTCCTGGCTATCCAAATAGGTATCCTGGGCTGATTCAGTGCTGCTCTGCACGGTGACAGAGATGAACGGCTTCGAGGTGGTCCGAGGTGGGACTGGGGGCGGTGTCTTTTTATATGCCACTAGGCATGATGAACCTGCAATAGCAGAGGTGGGAAGGAGCAAGAGAGGAATTGAAGAGAATGCAATAGAGATACAATAAGAGAAAGAAAAGCAGGTCAATCAATAACATTCAGGAGAAATCTCCAAGTAGAAATCTGAAGAAATGCAGAAATACCAATCAAATGCCAGCAGCCTGCACCGAGTGACCCACACCAAAGCATTAAAAGGAGGGTGGGAGGGGAGGAGGGAGCCAGCACTATCTTGCAATGAAGTGCAAGAGAAACCACATGAAGTGAGAGAGGTTTGAAGGTGGAAAAGGGGTAAAGAAGATCCTGCCAAACTGCTAGAGTGTTTGATAGGAAAAAGCCACCACACAGTTGTTCTGTGGAACCCCGATTTTTTTGTTAATTATATTTAGTGCCTTGGTAAAGCCAAACTCTCAGGTCTTTGTTCCCATCAGTTGATATCCGGACCAGGCTGGTGTTTGTTCCTGCAGGTTTCTTCCAGCACATAGTAGCTATAATGCTCACAAAGCATTGTTTTAATTTCTTCAAAGGTGTTTAGTTGCCTAAAGAAATGCAGAAATACCAATCAAATGCCAGGATTTTCAGAAGGACCTATCTACATATTTAGAACCCTAAATACATTTAAAAGACTGGCTCTTAGTGCAAAGTACATGATTTGCCAATATTAATTTGAGAACTGGAAACAGATATCTAGCATCTTCCCACATGCACACAGCTCAGTTTAGGGAACTGCAAGTCAGGTTGGATTCATGGGAATAAACACACCACTACCATCAGTACAGAGGTTCTGCATATAGAACAGTCTTAGCAATAAATCAGTCAGTAGCCATCACATGCCAGCACTTAAAACATAAGCAACTAGGAAGTGCAGGTTGAACCTCTCCAGTCGGACATCATCTGTGGTCTGGCATGATTTGAGTTAGAAGGATGTCCACTTATAATAGGCGTGGCCAAGTGTCCTGTGGTCCCATAAAGCTTGTTATGGCTCTCTGCGTTCTGTGCTGCTATTTAACTCTAAGTTACCCCTAAATGTCTTCTAGGAGCCCACCAAGCAGTGGCAGTGTTGGGAACGTTGCTGGACAATACTGACCTCTTGTGGTTTGGCACAGGTCAGATCCTGAGGGTGCTGGACTAGAGAGGTTCAACCTGTATCATGTGTACCACTGAGAGTTTGGTATTTCCACACAAGAGACATAGGTGAACACTGCCACCTCTAGAAGAGAGCTGAAGCAGAGACCTCACAGAAGCTCACACAACAGACATGACTACTTTGAAGCGCTAACCATTTAGGAGTTTAGATTAGGATTCTGAAGGTGCTGCTAACCTAGTATAGACATAGCAGTGTCCCTTCAGGACTACCCCAAGGTTTTAAATTGGCCGTTTTAATGTGTTAAAGGCACACAGTTATATCCACACTGAAACCAGGACAAGACCTTCATGTTAATTTTCTCAATAGCATTACTCATGCACTTACCTTGGATGCGACACTGAAAGTCCACTAGCAGTAGTACGTAAGGCAGTGACAGGCAACCAAAAATACGGAGTGGGCCACATGAATGGTCCTCCTTCACCTCAGAGAGATGCAGCAATCTGTCGCCTACTGGGGTTCCACCTGCTGCCCCATTGTCTCTCACCTACCCCATACATCTCTTGTGCACTGGGACCCTGCCCTCCCAACACTTTCTATTCCTCCCGCGCCCTCCCAACACTTTTGGACCACCACAAATCTTCTGGTTTGCACTCCATCCATCCCTGCTCCTTCTTTTCCTCCCAGAGCTTGAACAGCTGATGTGTGGCACTCCAGCTCTTGGAGCTAGGGGAAGGAGCAGGGATGGAGCATGCATCAGGTGATTTGTGGTATCTGAAAGTTCTGGGAGGGGAGGAGTAGGAAGTGCAGGGCTCTGGCTCTCCAGTGTACAAGAGGCACATGGAGGAGTGGGGCTGACAGGGGGTTTGTAGGCTGCCCACCACTGATGTAAGGGAATTTAACAATCACCAAGAAACATTTCCTAAAGTCAACTACAAGAGGTCCAGCTTCTGACTCATGCAAATGAAAAGTAACCACATGCCCATCCTTGGGCCAGTTTATTCCATTAAGTCACCCAAACTAAGTGCTTCATATCACTGAAAAATAGCCACTAGACACTATTGGATAATCAGCCGGTGGGACGGGAGCAACAGTCTAAATCACCACTTAGGTCTCTGCATGGAAACTGAAGCAGCCTGCAGTCAATGTAGGATAGGAGAACCTGCATGCTTTGCTTCAAGTGCTTTTAGATACCCTGCTGGAAACACAGATTTTCTCTAGTCAACCCCTTTAAATTCCTTGCAGTTTCTACAGATGATTATTTTTACCATGGCCAGGCTTACGTTAGAAAAGTTTTGCCAATGTTTCCATAAAATGGGCACAAGTTCCTGCACAGATGCCGCTTATGCTGGCAAAGTAGTACTTTTGCCTCGACAGCTCAGTTTCCCCAGCAAAATAAGCTAAGCTATATCCCCAGAAGTTCTTTTATGTTGCTATAAGATGTGCATGTGTTAGGACTTTGGGTACAGAAATACCGTAAGAGAAGTTGTACTCCTAACAAATATTGCTACATTAGCAAAAGTTTCTGAAGTAGACCTGGCCTATATCTGGGACGAGCAAAAGCCATCCCACCTGGCTTTTCCCACTCAGCCTGCCAGTAGTGCTGCTATAACACCCTCGCTAAATACCTGGGTCCCTTCCGTGGACCTTCTGCAGCTTCTCCATCCCTCTGCAGCCAGTAACACAACACTAGTAACACCATTAAAGAGGCTGTTTAAGTTTAACCAGGTACTTTGACTTAGGTGAGGTCATCTGCCATCGCAACAATGAGATATCTTATGACACAGCCTAGATTACAGCCACATTACAATGGGATGTAGCTCTGGTTTCACTGCTGGGCTGCAAATATGTACAAAGAGTACAGAGAGTTTTCTGGTTGCTGTTTCAACCTACCATAGCACAGTCTGACTGGGACAGTCAATCATGTACTATCCTACTGAAAATCATTACATGCAAGCAAAACAAAAGACTTCTGTCAAACCAGTCATTTATGAACAGGAACAAGCAAGGGAGGGGAGCCCTCACTGGAAAACATTTTATTTGGGATGACTGAGCCTCTCTCAAACTTCTGACAACAAAAATTACTGCATGACCCCAGGAGGGACTGAAGACTGAGCCCACCAAAGCCCCATCAAGGGGGGGCAAACCTGAAGGCCAAGTGGAATTTGGGCTTCAGTCCTGGGCAGTGGGGCTTGGGCTTCTGACTTGCTGTGGCCCATGGCCAACACCTGCCTCTGTGACCCTATTACAATGGGGCTGCAACCTACTTTGGGGTCCTGCCCACAGTTTGAGTGAGACAAACACCAGGCCCAGTAGGCCAGCTTCCACAGGCTGATGTACATGGTTTTGGGTGCTTGTAGATTCATTCTGAAGATTGGTATTCCTTCTTATTCCCCATGATCACCAAAGGAATTGGTCTTGATATGTGAGGTTGAATGCAAGACTTCACAGGAAAAGGAAGTGCACAAAACATGAGCAATGAGACACTCAGAACGCTGACATTAATGAAGAATAAGTAATGCTAGAAAGAGGTTGCAAACCCAACAGTAAAAACCGAAGAAACAATTGGAAACAAATCAGGAAGTCCACGACAATGGAGGATATTCAGAAAAACAACACAACTAAAAATTAAACCTACTCAAGCGCTTTCAGAACCTTAACACAAGCACATCAGAACCCTGCTGCAAACGGATCCAAATCTTTGTTGTCAAACAGAGACTAAAACCAAGTAAACAGCTAGATCCTGGTCTCTGGGCCAGCGTCTTTCCCTCTCTCAATCTATGCTAAATTAACTACAGTGAACCCTCGTTTATCGCGGTAGATAGGTTCCAAACCCGACCGCGATAGTTGAAAATCCGCGAAGTAGGGACATGTATATTTAACATGTATACAGCGAGCCCTCGCTACTTCGCGGTTCGACCATCGCGGATTCACGTATATACATAATGTAATGAAAAAAGTCCGCGAAGTCGTGAATCCGCGATGGTCGAACCGCGAAGTAGCGAGGGCTCACTGTACAGCAATTTTAGTCAAGTAAGTGGCACAGCTCTGATATTCAGCTACTTTTGAGAAGACATTGGGTAGCATTTTTGGGAACAGTTAAGTAATTCCACAAGTGATAACCCAGAATGTGCTTGGTCACTTGTAGAAACACGCCCACTTCCATCATGCTTCTGGCAGCATTCCATGTCGACTGGTTAATGGGCCCATCCCAGAAACGGCAGCTCATTTGTGATCAAGAGAATGCCAGTGGGATCCCCACCCCACTGTGGACAGTCCTCTCCTCCCTCCTCTCCAGTCCCTGCACACCCACATTCAAACAAACGTTTCAGCTGTTGCCAGCACTCCACCCAAAACTGAGCTCACTGCTGTGGTATCATCTTCAGCTAGCTACAGTGGAACATTTAGAAAGGCAGAGGACCCTTAGGCTACATGTGTATAGTGCCTAGCGAGGACGCTCTCTGGCAGGAACCTCTTCATGCTACAAACAACAAATTAATTTTAAAGTGCAGATCGTTTTGAAGGGATGAGACATAACATTGTGGAACCGTTTACAGGCCGTGATAATTTTGGTCAGAGAGGTGTGGAGCTTGGGACCACCTGCAGGCTAGGAAAGTGCAGGACTGGGAATTATGATACATACAGAGGGATCTCGTAAGCTCTCTGCTCTGCTGGCACAATTTATTCATTAAAGAAACTAAGAACAGTTTCAGGCAAAGAGCAAGAATGGTAATAAAATGTTTCTAATACCAGATCTCTGGTTTACAATATCTGAATCTTTCTATTCAAAGATTTTGGGTTTTATTTTTGGTGTGTTTTGCTTTTGAGTCCTATCTAAACAAGCTAGTAAAATTCCTCACTTATGCCTACACTACACTGGCATAATTTATCTACTCCAGAGCTGTGAATTAGCCACTGCGAATGACGAATGACAGAAGTTACACTGACATACACCCTTGCATGCACAGTGCTGTGTCAGTGGGAGAGCTCTTCCCAATGACACAAAGCCTTCACTAGACTGTGCTGCTGCAGTGCTGGACATCTATACGTTGTATTTAACTAACCCAACTGGGGTAGGGAGCATTTGGGGAGACTTTTATACCCTTCCTGGCAGAGCTATCTTTAGAATGAAACACACTCAGAAGCTGGCATCTTTCTCTGACTTCATCTGCTGCTTCCAGCCAGTCTTGGCCAATATCCACTGGTTTAATTCTCAGCCAATTTTAGTTTTTGCCTTTCAAATTCAGAACAGTATCTATGCTGAACATTTATACTCTCCTCCCTCCTTATGGGACAGTATGCTGATTGCTTGTTAAGGGCGAAAGTACACAAGCCTTTTAAAAAAATCCATCATCATCTAACCTGTGCTTTTAGAGG